TAAATCATTGATAAAGATGTTGAGCACTGGGCCTAGAACGGAACCCTGTGGCACCCCACTAGTAGCTTTCTTTAGTTTGAGAAGGTGCCATCGATGAACAATCTTTGTGTCCAAATTAGCAGCCAGAAGGTGGTCAGAAACAATAATAATGGCCTGGTTGGTGGCAGAGTGGCTTTCTTTCCTCCTCCTTTTATTCTCTTTAATTATTTAAAGAAAGTTGTTCCCATGGATCTGTATCAGCATGTGAGTGCCTTCAGCAGTCAGCAAACCCACACCAGTCCTTTTGATTGGCCAGTCCAGATTTCCCTTAAGGAAATATAGCCCAGTCCTGTAGTATTTCCTTCCACTGGAGAAGTCAACAGCTTTAAATAAAACCTGGGTATCCATTGTGACATCTGTGGTTTTATATACCAGTAGTTAGTCACCTGTGCAGCTCTTACTAATGCTAGCCTTAACAAAGTTAGCTTGGGATTTCCCTGCATTGCCTTTTCTTTCCTCAGAATCCACTTACTGCTCTCATGTTCTGTCTCATCCTGAGTTCACCTCAGAACCAGAGTCCTGTTATCCTTTGCTCTGAAGCCTATAAACTGCCTGTAGCCTTCTCCCATGGTCGCACCCAGTGACTAATAGCTGCCTGAGTATGAAGTTTCCGTAAACCATTACGGCCAACACCTATCAGTAGTCTTCCATCAGCTTGTCTAAATTGTTCCTGTTTGAAGCCATCCAAGTTAGCAGGCACTACATATTGAGGCAGCAAATCCCGTCATCTAGCAATGTTAGAGGAATGATTTTAATAAAAAAAAAAGGAATTACTTCTTCTGGCCTATTCTGTATTTTCAACCATTCAGCTCCTTATTTAATCTTTGATTCTAGCATTATGAGAGAAGGAAAAAAAAGTTAGGCTGACAGTTAGGACCCCAAGGGTATGGAATGGGCTTCCATGGGAGGTGGTTGTGGCCCCATTGGTGAAGCTGTTCAAGGATAAGGCTGGACATGCACATGGTGGGCATGTCGTGAGTGGAGCCAGCTGGAGCCGGGGGTCAGACTAGATGGCCCAGGAGGTCCCTTCTGACTCACCCTGTTTCTATGTTATTGCCATATAATGCATAATAAATTTTGTGAGTTGCATCATGTACTCCCTTACCTATTTTTAGAACTAAAAAGCTCCTACACTGAGTTGCTGCAGCAGAGTCTTCTTTCCGTTGACTTTTGGAGCAAGTTGTGGCTAGAGGTTTGTTTCTATTGATAACAAAGGAGAGACAATATCAGTTGTCCAAGTCTTGCTTACCAGATAGATTGTTATCAAGACTGTTGATATGGATAAATTATTTTATTCTGTTACACTGTTAAAGCTTCATATTCTAATGTTAATGAAGCTTTTAGCAGCAACTTGGAGTTTCCAAGAAATAACTTCCATCACTGCTATATTCCAGCATTGTAGGATAACATATATATGTGCTGTCATACTTATTTATTAATGGAGTGCTTTGAGTATATCCAGAGAGATTTTCATATCTGAGTGTGTGGATTGTTGTTTAAAATGGTTATTAGTTACCCTTTAGGGGGAAAGTGGCATACAAAATCAGGACAACAAAACCAACATAAAAATGAAGAACGGGCTTTTTCATGTCTCTGTGCATGTCTGTGTCTTTGTATGTGTGCTGAACAGAGCAAGATATATCTTAGAAGGACTTAAGAGATGAACTCCTTGCAAAACAGGAGGGGTTTTTTGTAAGGTACACAAGACATAAAAGTAATTTTGTTGTTTGAATAGCATGTCAAACTTAATAACATGATAAGCGGATTCAAGAAGTGAATTAGTTCTTAATTAATATATAATTCCATCCATTTTAATAATGATGTAACAAACTGTTTTTATTTAACTATTTTTAAATAAACCACTCAGTTTTGTTAGCATTTAAACAGCCTCCAATATCTCAACAATCATTCATTGGTATTGGGCATTAACAAGCCACACAGCCATGAACATGATAAGCTGTGGCTTGGCAGGTAATTTGGCAAAAGGTGCCTGGCACACAGCACAACTTACACAAGCCACCAGCACCTATTGAACTATGCTATCATGCAAATGAGGTCATTGAGTCTACCCTTTCAGCAAAACAGTGTTAGGAGGTCAGAGTAACCAGCTGATGTTCCATAACAGCTCAACATGGTGTTGGTGTCAGCAGAAGTGATCCCTTGAATGTGTAACCAATGGTGATTGTGCAGATTGGCCCCTTTTCTCAATGATAATAGAAACTTAAAATAATATTCTAATACAAGACTAACATAGGCTTCTGCAGTCATTGTACACATATGCATGCGCAAAGATAGAGGCTGAATTTGAATGTAAAGCTAAACCATGCTGAAGTGTTTAAACATGCAACAGACTTGATTTGTTTTTAGTATATAGACAAAGATAACTGAATAACAGCATATGGAACAAACAGTAGTTACTATGGCTAGCAAAACTCAGCACTTCCCCTTTCCATGCATTTGCAATAAAACCTATCCAGGTGGAGGGAACTGATTTAGCTTATTACAGAACTGTCAGCACATTGCTGAAACAAAGTGTTACACTAGGTGGTATTAAAATCTGTGCTAATAAAAGACAATTTTAGCATTTATTGAGTACTGGATATCATCAGCTTCTCTGGGGCTAACATTATCCTTTATACCAGTTAAAGCACTAAGAAAAGAAAATAGGTATGCTTAGCCCTTGCCAATATATATTCTGTAAATAGATCATCAGTATGTCTCAGAATAGATTGAAATATTCTTTTCAAGTTCTTTCATCCTGATTTGATCTGAAAATCAAATAATAAGTTTTTAAATGAGGAATGTCAGAAAGGTGTTCAAATGCGCAAAGTGTTTACAGTTAACACTATAGATTTGGATTGCTTTCTAAACACTTCTATAACTCTTCTGGACTTTAATTGCATCATTTTCACTATAAACAAATTTGTGGTTGCTTATTGACACACTGCAAATAACCCATTTCAGTGTAGATGAAAAAGGTTAAAAGCCCCAGAAATAGAACAAAAACTGATTTGTTCTTTGTCACTTTATTCTGAAAAACAGAGCTTCACAAGCTAATTTTCATGCATTTTCTAGATAGACTCTTCAGTACAACCAAATTCATTTTTCCTTTTCCAATGCAACATAAAGATAACTTAAAAGTAAAAGTATGTCAGTACCAAATAACACATAATTAGAGTGTTTCTGTAAATATGCCATATAAATTCAATAAAATAACTCTTAAATTTCATGTCTTTTCCAGCATTTTTATTAACATATTCAACTAGTTATCCTGCAGCCATTGAGTGCTCCTCATTTGAATGTGTAACCGGTGCTGTAAAGACCTATATATGAAGTATTAATTTCTCCTGGACAGCATCTGTCCCTTTACAGGATATAAAGTGCAGAGTTATTCCATGCCTAATAAGAATCAGGTATTCACACTTCAGGTGGTCCCAGTAGCTCTGCAAAATCAGTTCTACTAATGTGTTGCTTCTGCATAGAATATATTGAATTGGAAAGCTGGGTTGGAAAGCATATAAGTAAAATTACATCTAAGTAGACATCCTTGAAAGATGGTGAGCAACAAAAGCAGTAGTTTTGCAGAGGATAAGATCATATGAACTGAAGTTTGATAGTAGAGATGTTATGTAGAGGTTAGCTGTCTATCAGCACAAGTACTGAGGTTGGCAGAGTAAGTGAAGAACTCAATCAGGAATAACACTTGTTTACTCTTGTGTTGTGTAGTACTCAAAAATATGCTGTGTCTCAGACTGCAGGAAGGAAAGGTTTTCTGGGATCAGCCTCCGGTCATACAAGTGTAATAATAAATACATACATGAAAGTGAACAGCCATTCAAGGGACAGTGAATCTAGCACTAATCTAAGATTTAGAAAGTGCTGAAGAAGCAGTTCTAATGACTCTCCTTGGAGGCTTCTTTTGTATCCTTTTGATATAAATAGACTGGTTAGTACACATGCCTATAGACAGGACCAAGTTTCTGGGGTTTCTTATGCTAGAATTCTTCTCTCTAACATTGTGGGAGTGTTAATAGCATAATCAGGTTTTGGTGAACAGTTCCAAGTCTTCAACCTCTGGCATATTTATAAGTCTGTTGCGGATACAGTGTATGCAGTTCAATTTACTGAATTTGGATTGCCTTGTACTTTTTAAAATAAATTCATTATCTAGTTCTCTCTGCAGTATTTCAGAAACATCCCTTAAGATAGAATTTCTGATTGAAATACATTTCTGAATAAAATCCACCAAGTGCAAGTGGATTTTCTTTGCAGTTAGTTTGACAGCATCCAAAGTGCAATGTACTATATACCTGCTGTATTTTTACCAGGCACATTTTCCTTATGGAACTGATGGTAGGAATTCATTATTAGCAAACATTAAAAAGCTTTTATGGTTCCTAATTGCTTATGCTCCTAGGGACTCAAAACATATTTTAAACTCCGTGTCATTATATTTTTGAAGTAATATTGGACACAGTATTCTAAGTGTAGTCTCATCAAAGATCTTGTATAAAGTCATTCAAATATTGGTAGCTTTGCACTTCATTCATTTTTTAGAAATCCCCAGCATGCAATTTGGTTTTGCTCCTATTTTTTCTATGAATTAGCATGTATATTCAACTAAAACCAGTGGGCAATTTTTATGAAACAAGATATTCAGTAATATTGCATATGATTCTAGCAGATTTATTACTATATGAAGATATATCGGATCTCTGGTGCTGTTTTGTTGGAAATCCAAACTGTTTTGTGTGTTCATTCCAGATCTGAAATACTGTTGTGCATCATATCACTACAGTGGTAAATGTCTTGCTTCATTTTGATTTTTTCATGTTACTGGTCTCTTTCTTCCTGCCCTGTCCAGCCTCTCCATACTCCTGCATTTCATTTATTTTAACTTTTGCTCTTTGTTTTTCTTTTAACTGTGAGTGGAATTATTGTCTTCCTGTCTCCATATTCAGGTAGTGTCAGTGGCTGAGTATCACCGCAGGATCGATGCTCTAAATAGTGAAGAACTACGCACACTCTGCAGACGTCTCAAGGTGCTCTCTTCAGTAGTTAACCCCTCCCCCCCTCTTCCAGAGGGTAGAACATCTTGGTCTGTAGTGTCCTTGGTCAGGGCAAGTCCCTTATTCAGTGGGTTTGGCTTAACTATAATACCACAAGTACCCAGCAGAAAATCCCTTCCTTATAGATGTGTGTTGCTATGCAGTGCTATAGTTAAGTGCTTTGATGACATTTTGTGACAAGCAAGTCATTCCTAGAGCTGAGCCAAACTTTTGCACGTTTCAAGTTCTACATCTAAATTTCCATGCTTGTGAATTTCACGCACAAAATACGCTAAAATAAAGTGCTAATCTTTTTCTTTCTTTTTTTTTGAGGGGAGGATACTGGTTGCTAGTCTCAGGTCTGATAAAGTTGTGGAACAGCTGCCAAAGCCTGCTTTTTATGTTCCAGAGATCTATGCAGAACCTGAGCTAGGCCAAGCTTGGAATCCTTCCTGACATGACTAAGCTAACACATACTCAAAGACCTTTATATACTCTTGATAATACATCCCCATCCAATGTGACTAGAAAAGGCTAGCAGGGCTTCTGACTTTTACTGATGACATTGTCTGGAAGATTCATGAACACACAGTTCTGTGTCCAGATATCATGATAAACTATGTTTAACCAAAAGTAAAATCTTGTGAACCTGCCAACTTGACCCCAAAAGAGAAGGATGCACAAGAGCCTGAGGGAGGTGAGGCTCATTGAACTCTGGCTAAATCATATTTTACTATAAAGTCCTAATGCAGCCATTTCATATATAAAGTGCCTCTGCTTAAGCTTTAGTTGTAGGCTGGGGTAGTTTTCCAAGCTTCACTGAACAGTGCCCTGTGGACTCATTCAAGGACTCTACAATACTCTTGAGCCTTAAAAAAGCCTTTGGATTTGCATCCTTTTAGTGCCAGGCACTTGGATTAAAAAAAAAATGAAAATTTGAGAGAACAGTTGAAAACTTGCCAAAGACTGGAAATGCTTTTAAAGTATAAGGAAAGTGAAAACAAAGCTAAAAAGAATATTTTGGCTCTGCTCTAGTTATTTCAAACTCAGAGGAATTTTCTGTTTATCTTTTGAAGCTTTGTTTTCATTGCTGTATTTTTTACAGACTGGTGAGGACTTTGCATTTCACAGCATGGGATGGAGTTGAATAAACACATTTCAAAAAAGAATGCAAAAGGTTTTGTTTTAGCCTGAGTTGCAAAGTGCAACATTTTTTTTAACCTTCCCCACAAAACTTTGTTGTAGAATTATTTGTATTCTTACTCACAAACCAGTGGAAAATGTAAATGTGTAGAAGGTCTATCCATGCATATGTCTCAATATACATGTGAGGAGACCATTTTCGCCCAGATTTGACAACGGAACCCTTTGTTTTGCCTTGAATCAAATGCAGCAGGAGCAGGTGGTTTCCTGCATAAGTTTCTTGGTGTATCTTTTGCTTTCTTGGTAGATAGATTCTGTTCTACTTGAGCATACATACATGTGAAGAAAAGCTATGTACATTACTGCTGAAAACTTATCTTTAAAACTGTGTAAGCATTTTCTAAACTTGGAACAATAAACTGTATGGTGCATTTCATATGAAGAGCTTGAACAAGTATTTGGGAAGCCTCTATAAAACTATTCACTGCATTATAAATAAATTTGAGGCTTTTGAACACTAACCGAAAGGAGTTTTTAAATCTTTGTGACTTGCATAATATTTACAATTGGCTGCATTAGAAATTTCATTCATAACTTTGATCACTCAATTTTCTGGCATTGCTAATATTTCAAGTATGCCTTATTGACCTATTTTATGCCACTGTGTTATGCACTAGAAGTACTGATAATATGAGTGAGAGATACCTTTTCCATATGTTCTGGAATAACAGCTTCAGTAAGTTCAGTGTTCCAAAAGAAGAGTTATTTGAACTTTTGTTTGCTTTGCTTTGCTGTTTTTGTTTTTGATGTGCCATCAAGTCAACTCTGACTTATGGCAAGCCATGAATGAATGCCGTCCAAAATGTCCTATCCTTGACAACTCTGCTCAGCCATTGTAAGCTCACATTTGTAATCAATGAAATATATAGACAAATCCAATTAGAAAATCCAAATCTATATTTCTGTTGTTAATTTTTCATGGAGTGTGTCAGTAAAATATGTCTTGCCAAAAAACAGCATATAATCTATTTGCTAATTACTTGGAATGGATGATGAATTCCTTGTACTTTGGGAAATACTGACATTGCAAAATCAGTTCAGTGATTTCTATAGTATATAAATGGTAGCTGTTACAAGCTAATAGGAAATCAGGTGAATGCTTGGTAAATGATACAGTTCCTATCTCAACTGAGTGATTGTTGTACAGCAAGTAGTGGTGATACTTTGGAAACACAGGTAAAAAATCAGGAATATTTCACAAGGCTGCAGATTTTCACTTTCCCGCTTTAACTGTGTGAAGCATTTTGTCAGTATCAACATAACTGTGGTTCCATTTTAGAAGTCAGCTTTCAAACAGGCTAGTAAATCCAAGTTAAAAGGAACCCTGTTTTGCTTTAACCATGGTGATTAATACCACTAACTAAATGCTGAACTGTGGTGAAACCTGCAGCTGGGAGGAAGGAATAGCAGATAGCTTGGAAATGGAGTACATGGACCTGGTCTGTACTTCAGCTGGTAAACTGCATTTATCAATGAGTTTGCATTGGCTGTTAATGCAAAGGTTAACATTTAACTATTGATTTTGGTTGTTGAGACACACACACCTTATCTTGCAGTTATTATATAACCTTTGAATTCAGTCGTTTACCTTGTAATGGAATTGTACTTTTGGATTTGTTTGTGTTGCCTATGTTACAATTTTCTCCTTTTAAGTAATTGGAAAACTTCTTTTCACTGGAACAAGCATTGAGCATGTTCGTGCTGAAAAATGCTACTGTATTCCAGGATTCATGATGATCATTGTGAGTCTCCTTAATAAAGAGGCAACAAATGGGGAGAAAACGCTGCCTAAAACATTGCAGTTTTCTGGGCAGGAGTACAATTTTGAGCTGCCACAGTGTGATTTCAGATGTAGCTTTTGCTGACTATTTCTCTGAGTGGCCCTTTTCACTTCATGGATGGTAGAAAGAGATGAATGCTGGGGTCTGGTACAACCAGAAGTATAAAATATAGCAAAGAGTGAAAGAAACAAGCCTGGAAGTGGGGAGTGCAGGGAGAGATACATAGGAGACAAAGATGCATGGAATGTAAAATCATAAGTGGAACAAAAGGGTGTTGTCACTATCGGGTCTTGTAAATAACTGCCTTCTGCTCTATGATGGCTTTTTAAAAGAACTTATATAATAATTTTGTGTTCACCTAAGCTTTTGATGAATGGTAGTTTTTAAACTTACCACCACTTTCAAGCTATAGTCTTATACTCACTTACTTGGAAATACATCCCATTGAACTTAGTACTTTTCCCAACCTGGTG